GCTGTGGCGCGGTGGCAGAGGGCTGAGGCGCGGTGGCAGAGCACTGGGGCGTGGTGGCGAAGTGGGGGGTGAGGGCTGGGTTGTGGTGGGGAAGTGGGGGCGAGGGCTGGGTCGTGGTGGCAGAGCTAGGGCTGTGGCGCGGTGGCAGAGGGCTGAGGCGCGGTGGCAGAGCACTGGGGCGTGGTGGCGAAGTGGGGGTGAGGGCTGGGTCGTGGTGGCAGAGCTAGGGCTGTGGCGCGATGGCAGAGCACTGAGGCGTGGGGGTGAGGGCTGGGTTGTGGTGGTGAAGTGAGATGAGAGCTGGGGAGTATGGATGAGGGTGGGGGCTGGAGCGCAACAAGGAAGCAGGGTAGAGGGTGTGGTTGATGGGAGGAAGGTTGGGAGCGGTGGTGGGAGTACGGCAACAAAGGAGGAGGAGTGCGGAGACGAATCGGGGTGGGGGCAGGAGCGTGGCGATGGAGCATCGGTGGGAGCGTAGTGAGTGAGCGGGGGTGAGGGCGTGCATCAAGACTGCTGTGCTGAGTGCGTGTGAAAGAGCAAGTGCGAGGGAGGATGAGAGTGAGAGGAAGAAAGAGAGAGAGAGGGGGGAAGAGAGCGAGAGAGAGGAAGAGAGCGAGAGTGAGAGGGGAAGAAAGAGAGCGAGAGAGAGAGAGAGAGAGAGAGAGAGAGAGAGCGAGAGAGAGAGAGAAAGAGAGAAAGAGGGAAAGAGGGAATGAGAGAGTGGGAGAGAGAAAGAGAGGGGAAGAGAGCAAGAGAGAGAGAGGGGAAGAGAGCGAGAGAGAGAGAGAGAGATAGAGAGGGAGAGCATGAGCTGGAGCAGGAGAGAGTTGGAGGGAGGGAGGGAGGGAAAGAGAGAGAGAGAGACGCATGCTCAGTGATCTCCTCACTGTGTGTAGGTGGCCGTGATGCCGACGGCATCATTGCCTGGCTGAAGAAGAAGACCGGCCCGGCAGCGAAGACACTCGAGACTGCCGACGATGTCAAGACCTTCATCGACTCTGCCGACGTCGTCGTCGTCGGCTTCTTCAAGGATGCCGAATCAGAGCAGGCCGGGGTGAGTCCTGCAGTCGCCAGAGGGCGCCGGCGTGGCGCTGTCTCGCTGTTCGTGCGAACGTGTAGCGCCCTGGAGTGCCTCTAATGCAATATCTGCTGTATCGTTGCGATGCGGGCGCGTGTGCGAGTTGTTTTAATGCTGACAACAGGTTGGGCCACCGACCCCCCCGAGTTATTCACTCCCCGAGTTATTCATTTCTGTGTGCGTGAGCCCGCACTCCCACCTAATACAGAGTACGGTGACTGAGCGGCGTAAAACTTGAGTGGCTAAGATCTTGACAGCCGACTGCTTACACTTCATATAACCCTGGGGCCTGTTGTCAGAAACAAAATTAGTCTTAACATTAGTCTTAACATTTACAATTTCTCCTAGACCGTCGACATCACTTTGTTTCGTATTGTTACAAGGAAATCTGCTACGATTTTTCAATCTCGTAAATTCGCAGCGTTTCTGTCAACGGTCTAAGAGATAAAGTGAATGTTAAGACTAATGTTAAGACTAATTTTGTTTCGGACAACGGGCCCCTGGTCTCTATCTTCCAATCATCCTTGGACTCGTTACTCATCGTGTCAATTAATTTTCTTACTAGATTTACAAGCAGGTTGCTGATGGCTTCGATGAGCTACAGTTTGGCCTCCTCTCAGACGAGTCCCTGTTTGCAGAGCATGAAGCTGAGGATGGCAAGGTCATTCTCTTCAAGAAGGTAAGACAGTTAGTGGGTTCACGGTTGCCAGCAGTGTGGTCGTTGGGGGGGTTCCTGAGCGTTGGACGGTGGGCATTGAAGTCATATGGTAATATGTTCCTAGGTGATCACATTGTGCTCCCGTTTGCTTTAGCGTTAGTTGTGCGGCAGTCATGTTGCGAATGATCGTGACGAAGGAACGAATTTGCGACGAACGAATTTCAGTCACCTCGTTCCAGTAATCATGACAGATACCCTGATTAAGTTTTATGTGAGCAGACTGTGTGAAAATCAATTCTGCTCTGTAGGAACAAGATTTGCTGAAGGCGCAGACAGGCAGACTAGTAATGACCTTGCATTTAATAAGTTTGTAAAATATGTGTAAAAGCACTGACCATATAATATCATATATCCATATATATTGTGTGGAGGTATTAATCCGTATGGTTTATGTTTCTATTGCATAGTTTGACGATAAGCGCACCGAGTACATTGGTGACCTGACCCCTGACGCCGTGTCCAGCTTCATCAAGACTGAGAGTCTGCCACTTGTCAACGAGTTCTCGCCCCAGGTAGGCTTTTTCAAGTCTGTGGAAAAAATGGCTATCGTCAAAAATTTTACGGGAGTGATTTCGGAGGTTTGAAGAGCGAATCGCGAATCGCTCCCATGTATTTTTTACCCTGGTAGGCTCCCACTGAGTTTGCTCTCTTTAGCATCTGTAGACTTTACCAACGGATACATAATCAGATTATTACTTGCACAATAAATTCCGCTCAGACTGCCATTCTAGTTTATTCGCATGAGGGCGAGCAATGCGCTCCAGTGCATATGTTTTAGCAGACTACCAAACGAACCTCAGGGTTAATGAGTTATACACTACAATCCCTCGCCTTTTCAACCAGAAAGATGATTTCAATTTGACAATTTGCTAGATAAACGAATTCGAAACTCTACTTTACTCATACTGAGTTGGAATCACCCTAGTTAATATACATTTCGTTTTGCCGTTTGGCTCGCGTGTATAACTTAAGCCTCTACTCGAAGTGCGAGGCCGTTGGAGGTAAGCCGTACAATGGCTGTTGCTAAACTCTGCTCTTCTCTGCGTAGACTGCACCAAAGATCTTCAGCGGAGACATCAAGACACACATCCTCTACTTTGCCGGAAAGACCAAGGACTACTTTACTGAGACGTATGAGTCCTTCAAGACACCAGCGGTGGAATTCAAGGGCAGAGTGAGTTCATCTTTTTAAATGGTTTCGTTATCTTTGATGCAACTGGGATAGTAGTATACTATATATATTGTTATACACAAGTATGTAGGCATGAAGTAAAAGAGCTAGCATTGTGAAATTTTGTGGCATTTTTATTACGCACAGTAGCTTCGATGATCGATTGTTTTTACATTCGGTTATAAATCGTTCGGTGCAAACAATCTCCTTTCGATTATAATCATTCATTGGGGCATCACTTCACAAGCGTAGCCCGCTTTTGCCAGTCTTGTAATTGCGTGCAAGCTCACTCTCAGTACTACTGTGGCCCCCAGCCACTGGATCCGACCCCCCATCCCCCTTTCCACTCGACGAGAATTGCAGGGTTTTTTATACATAAGGGGCACAGTGGCGCATCGCATAATCCACCATGCACGTTTTTTTTCCCCAAACTGACCATTACCTCCCGTGTCTAATTTTCCCTCAGAAGAAACCTTGGGATGCTTGTCTCACCTGTTCGTTTTTTTCTGCGTGCTTGCAGGTGCTGTTCATCCACATCGACACGGACAACGAGGAGAACGAGCGCATCCTTGACTTCTTCGCGATCAAGCCCGAGGAGCTGCCGACGACGCGTCTCATCGTGCTCGGTGAGGACATGACCAAGTACAAGCCGAGCGACATGGACACCGTCACCACTGACGGGGTCAGGGACTTCATCCAGAGCTACCTGGATGGAAACCTGAAGGTTGGTAACGAGTTAGATGGATTTTGGCGATAGCGTCGGTAGTGATGTTATTTTATGATGGATGAGTGCAATTAGCCTGTTGACTAGCGATTGTTTCGACGACTCGTCCGGCTGCGTTTGGGGTGAGCGGTCTTATTAATCGATATTTAGAGTCTGGCATTTATCGTAAAGTAATATTACTATTTAACAATGCTCTACTGGACTAACACTGTTTATTCCTTTTATATGGACCTGATTTAAAGCCGCCAGGGGTGCTCGAAAAATTATATTGGCTATTGAAATTTAATAGCTATGCCCGAAATCTTCAATCTTATGCTGATATGCATTTTTGCATATGTTTTTGCATTTGTGAGGAATAGCTCTTTGCTTGACGAGCTTGGATCAGTGCGTGCGTGCGTGCGTGCGTGCGTGTCTGTGTCTAGTTGGCTAGCCAACATTTAATGTTTCTCCTGTGTCAGCGTCATTTCAGAAGCAGCAGCAATAGAAAGTCGCAAGCAGTAGGTAAAAACCTGTAGCGTGTACTTATCGATTGGACATTGTCTGTTTGCAGCCACACTTGATGAGCCAGGAGCAGCCGGAGGACTGGGATACAAACGAAGTTAAGGTGCTTGTGGCATCCCACTTCGATGTTGCACGGGACCAAACCAAGAACGTCTTTGTTGAATTCTGTAAGTATGTAATTAAATAGCATTATTCATAGGCAATGGTGTGGAGTCGGACCAGCAAGTGAGCGATAATCCTTAATAAAATGCATTTCTATTCTAGCTCTGTAGTCTTTATTGTTGTAATGGGGCTGGCAGAGAAAGCTAGTCTGCGGATGTGATTGACATCGACACTTATGATCCTTGTTGGGATTATAGCACCGTTTTGACACTTGCATAAAATCCCGCTGTATGCAAGCGCATTTAATGTGGCGTATTTTTGCACGACAGACGCACCGTGGTGTGGTCACTGCAAGCAGCTTGCTCCCATCTGGGAACATCTTTATTGTTGTAATGGGGCTGGCAGAGAAAGCTAGTCTGTGGATGTGATTGACATCGACACTAAAGTACCTTGTTGGGATTATAGCACCGTTTTGACACTTGCATAAAATCCCGCTGTATGCAAGCGCATTTAATGTGGCGTATTTTTGCACGACAGACGCACCGTGGTGTGGTCACTGCAAGCAGCTTGCTCCGATCTGGGATGAGCTGGGTGAGAAATATAAGGATGACGACAGCATTGTCATTGCAAAGATGGATTCCACAGTCAACGAGATTGAGGACGTTAAGATCCACAGCTTCCCTACACTCAAATACTTCCCCGCTGGAAGCGACAAGGTAAGGATGGGTGGAATGAGAGAGAGAGAAGGGCAGAGGGAGAGAGAGATGGGGAGAGCGACTAAGAAAGTGGGTGGAATGAGAGAGAGAGATGGGGAGAGCGACTAAGAAAGTGGGTGGAATGAGAGAGAGAGAGATGGGGAGAGCGACTAAGAAAGTGGGTGGAATGAGAGAGAGAGATGGGGAGAGCGACTAAGAAAGTGGGTGGAATGAGAGAG